ATTAGTTGGTCCCGGTTTTCTCCGACCAGTTGTGGCCTGGCCTTCAACTTCAGCTGTTTGACTGACTTGCCGGCTGGCCTGGCCGACCGACCGCCACCGACTGACGGACGGACGGGCAGATCAGATGGGCGGGACGGGTTCTTCATCGTGGCCGAGGCCGATGTTCGACAAGCTCGGCGAAGCAGCGACGTGGTACGAATGCGAAACGCATAGGTAAACGAGGGCTGACGACCTCGCGTCACGCCGTTGGAGGTCACTTCCATACTAGCGTTTCGACCTCGCATTTTTTGGTACGGGCTGAAGGGGCGACGATGAGGGTAGCGCAGCTGTCTATTTGTTTGTCTCGCACCTTTTGGGTGCCAGTTTCACGGTTTAAGCGCGAAGTAGATTTTGTCTTACTAGCTACGACTTCCCTTGAGCAAGGAATTTTTCGTCCCACTGCGCTTCCGTGCAACCAGTCGAGCAACTGGTATAGGCAAGTCGATGGTTTGCGAACAAGAAGGACAAGGAGATGTTATGGAGTCATTTAGGGAAAGCCTGTATGACTTCCGATCACGCCGTCTCATGCATGTATCTTACAACTGCAATTCACTTTCACCCACCTGAGAGCTGACTAACGACGATTAAATGCATGTAGCGTACACCATCTTTTTTAGAACTGGGTGTTCGTCCATTTGGGTAGAACAGATGAGTGCAATATGTCCCTAAAGTAGAACCCTAGAGGCGCCCTACCTGGCCCTTACCTGCTGAACGCGATTCCGAAAGTCCGAATGGTCTTTTCCAAGCCATCCCGAAATGCAGTGACATGGAAAAAACAAGTTAAAAATGTCGTCAATTTTTTCGTCTCGAATTCTTCGAAAGAGAGGACTTTCCTTCTGTGCATATCAGAATTTTACTGTACAGAAGTTGCATTCAGCAACGCCAGCGACGGATTATTACTCTCTTGTTCTCTTGGGATGTAACAGACAGGCGAGCAGTGGATAAATATTGCGCAGTACATTTATTTACACATCATATTTGCACAGGACACATTCCGGACCAAGCTCAGTATATCACTGGTAGTACGTCAGGTATCATAATAAATCTGAAGACAGACCGAGTTTGTTCCGAGGTATCAACGTAACTTGTGTACGCATTATCTCGTATGTGGCATCCCGAAAGACTCAGCATGTTGGCGCATAAAGAAACTTGTACCGTATGCAATGTTATCTGATCATGTAGGATTTTTTCTTCATGTGAGTGGCTTCGATCTTCTAAGAATGGGGGCCAGTTTGCATGCTGATGATCCATCAGTGGGTATCGTCAATCAATAATTAGAGTGAATGTCGTATTATAGTTTCAACAGTTTTGCTAATGAATTCTGTCTTAACCGTAAGCTTTACCTATAACCTACCGGTTGCTTCTTTATGTAAAAGAGGATTATGATAGATTTTTGATGAGGCTATAAAATGATCTGGGGACACTGGCGCAAAAAAGGCCTTTCGTCACTACACTTTATAAGCAACGAACTCAGATCCAAGCGCAGCGTAAAACTTATTATTAACTGCTGATGAACAGGGAATTCATCGCATTGCGCTAGTCGATGATCTACGACAACGGGGTAGAGTGAGCGTTTTGCTGTGGCCATGCCAGAGCCTGCTAGGCTTATGATCATGCTGTTTGATTCATGCCATTGATGGCTATACATACTGACTCGCGTTATAGCGAACTACATCGGCATAAGGTGTAATTTATTTAGAAAGGTGACTTCATGAGTCTGTTAGAGTACTACTGCTCTTGTAGTCTGTTAGATATGGCGATACCGGCTTATCCCCAACCGACACCGTTTGTTTTTCAGGATATCAAGGAGGTAACAGAAGCATGACGGATTTATTGGATGGAGAACCACACTTGCCACGTAATGAGATTATTTACACGCATATGTGGCCTGGAAGATAATCAGGCTGCTAGTTTCACTCATCCCCAGCAGGGATGAGTTCGTCGCGCCACTGCTTACTTGACAGACCCAGGGTACGGGTCCACTTCTGTCGCAGGTACTTCACGTCTGAATACTGTTTCGCAATCTGCAGCCAGTGGACGCACCAGATCGCCGACAGGCATGCATGCACGAGGTATGCATTGTTCATTGAATGAGTAAAAAATGAATAAAAATAAGCTAATCGTCTAAGGCCAGCAATGTTTCGGCGAGCGTATTGAAAATCCTTGATCGTCATGTTGTTAGCCGGGATTCAACAGGTTGAACCCAGAGGTCATCCCTCTTCAGATCCGTAAAGAAATCAAATAACACTCACTCATTTAAAATGGTCTGGAGTAATAGCGCTTGTATAATTAGGATTCACACGTTCGTTCGTTTTATGTTGGCACCAAGTTTTCGACAATTTATTCTTTCATCAAATGTCTCCTATACTGGTAACAATGAATGGCATGTCTGCAGTAAAAGCTTCAGCGAGTAGTAGCTACTGGTTTTTAGGAAAAGTTTATGAATGTGTTATTGAAAGTGGTAAAGATCATTCGTTCACTCGTTAAGTAGTTTAGAAGAACGGATTAACGAACGTGTGATCAGTGTCCAATCCGGAGCAAGGTTTGCAACGATATTGCGTCACGTGGTTGCAAACCGCCTGTGATGTAAGCCTCTTTCTACGTAGTTACCTCCCGTTTGGATGGCGAGCGTTCATTCATACCAGGTTCACGCCATGGTTTGCGCGGTAAACGAATGATTTGCGAGTCTCAAGATCCTCGAATAAAATACACCTGGGGTTATTTACATCCTTGATCGCATTTATGAACAGAGCCGCGATCGGAGACTGTATGAAAATATTTTCAGTGGCGGCGGAGCATAACTCCGTGAACAGCCAGCGTAACTCCACTAAAGTAATACGACAAACAACCGACTAGAGAAATGGGAGACAATCTAAAACAATGATGATGAAAAGGACCGTTGTAAGATGAATGAACACGAGAAGATGTATGGCGTCAGTTTGGTCTGGTTGTTGTTAAAGAACTTCGGTAGGCTGTAATAACTTCTTAATTGTCCCCGTTAAAAAAATTTCGTTCTTATGCTTTGTTTAGAAATTAGAATATCTCTTTTCTATGCAGCTGACAAACGTCTTGTTTCGCTAACAAATCAGGCGACGAACTCGGCATCGATATGGGTTCGTCGTCAAACCGGGAGGGCGGGTAATTGCATGAAGTGTAACATATCTTGCAGATGGAGTAAGTTCACTATTGTTAGATATGAGACTGCTGTATGTATTTCTCCGAATTGAACAATGCTCACAGTTTCGTCAGACAATCTGTTCTAAACTAAATAATGAATGAAGACTGTTTATTTAATGGTTTATATATGTCGATAAATCAATGGTAAACCAGTACATTCTTAAAACTTTCTATTTTTTCATACGGAAAAACATGCTCTTTTGCTGAAACAGATTGAACAGACAATATGCTAAAATTTCCGCGCTCGTAACTCACTGAGGACGATTAATCAACAGTGATTTAAATGTAACCACTTCATTGTGCCATACCTCTCTGCGACTGGTCACTTCGATGTCGTGATGTTTCTCATTTTTATGCTAGTCTGTGAGGTCAGTCCGGTTGCGACTTCATCGTTCGGCTACAAGATGGGCACAGTTCACTGTCAGGCTGTCTTGAAAAATGCCTGCCGAAGTCTAGACCTTCCGGCAACTTTTGTAGTAAGATTATTCTTCGCTTATGCAGACTTGTTTTGAAAGAATGTCAAGAACTATCAGTACCCGATTATCAATACCTCCTTGCGCGACTGTTAACAACGTGTCGCCCTACCGTATCATCATATTTTGTTCTTTCACATCGTATTTCGCTGTAGGTCATTGTCCCCAATCTCGGTCATTGTTTGACATCCACGATGTTGACGAATTTAAGGAAAGCATTATGTTGGAATTATGACATGACGGTATTGCCTGGATGCCTTAGCTGGTAGAGAGTCGGACTCGCAGTTGAAAGGTCGTGAGGTTCAGCCGCCGCATTCAGGTCATTCACAGGTCTTTCATATTTCTGAGGTATATAAACTAGCACAATTTTGTTGGAAGGAACCGGTAACAAGAGACTAACGCCAGAATGTAGATTTAAATGTTGCCATGGAAAAGAAGGCAACAGGACACTTTTCTGACTAATAACATGGTGAACATCACA